CTCCTATAGGACGACCGGAAGGAGAGTGATCGAATACCTCTTTGAAGAGGGTGTGGAAATGGGTCTCGGATCAGAGTTCTGTGCTGTTGGCAGTCCATATGGCGGTGGCCCAATCCAGGGCTTTGCCTGTGAGTAGAGACACAACAAAATCCACCCTGCTATTGTCGTTGGCGAAGTTAGTGGGGTGGTGCTCAATGTATTTGCTGCATTGCATCAGAAATCCTTGACATTTCCCAGGGGAACCGTCATATTTTCCAGGCATGGATATGAATGAAGGAGAGCTATGGGTTACGATACCTGGCATCGGAGGCGTAGATTGTCGACTTGATTCATGATGATGACTGCTTGCTAGCTAAGATGTTGAAAGTATGATCAAAGCTACGGTAGATATAACGTGATTTGATATATATACTTTTTTTGCTAAACAGGTGGGGTTCAAAACAGGTGCCCTGAATGACAGGTCACCACTGGTCATTACAGATGCAGGCAGTGTATACGTTTTAATAATAAATACAATAGACCACAATAACTGTAATGACATTAACAAAGTGAAAGCCATGCCCCCAATAAGCCACGCCTCCAACTCTTCTGAGAGTCTGCTTCATTGTCCTCACCACTATTTTATACGCATGCGCATGAGGTGTTGAAAAATTACATTGACGATTTTGTCATTTGATTTCAGACTAATTGAATAGAATAGGCTGAACGAACCAAAATGTAATTTTTGATCATTCCAATCATTAAAAGCACTTTAGATTAACAGCACAGTCCCACTTTTTACAGTGTGTGCAGGTTAATGGAACAACCGCTTGAATAGTTGCACAAAGTGCATACTGAGGCACACTCTCAAACATAACACACACACAAGCATGCGCGCACACATGCAAACCCACTCCCAAAGACAGGAACGTTGTCTTTTATATTGTACACATTTTGAGGTTACATGTTCTGCTTTCTCTCTTTAAAAGCAGTTGTATTTGATGTAATTATTTGTGTAACCACTGTTGCGTACACATAATGTCTATTCATGGGTTGCCAGGGTAAAGTTTTACTCGCTTGGTTAATGAGTCCTTGTTTCATCAAAGTAAGAGGCACTGAGACATGGATTCACACACACACAGCTCAAGATCTGGAAACAGACTCTCTAAGATGGCACTGACACATGGACCTGCCACTCTGTTCCTGATCTTTCTGAGGACATTGTCTATGGCTAAAGGTACAGTATGACTAAACCGCTTCTCTCTCTCTCTCTCTGTTTGTAAGCGGAACAAACTCTATTGATATTATTCAGGGGAGAGCCATTGCTAAGCTGTAAGTAGGCACCGTTATTGGGGCTCTGTGCATATCTTGACTTAGAACATTTGACTGATCCATATCGACACAAAATGCACTAATAGCAGTTAAAATCATGATTAATTGTATTCTATTGGATAATAATAGGCTACATCTCTATTAGGATATGTTTTTTTTTGTGATGAATGCCCATGAAATAATTGATGTACAAGTATCTGTGTATTGGTGTCTTAATTTAGTAGCCAGTACATAGTGTACAGTAGATAGAACTTCAGTGAAACTTTCCAAAGCAAAGATAAGAGATTTATTTGGGAATAATGTCTCAGATAATGGCAAGAAACGAACTGCATTTATTCATGAATAACCTTATTGAACCGTTTTATTGAACATCAGCAGATAAATTATCAATGCCAATATGTTGGCCAGTACTTTTATTCTATATTTGATTGTATTTGTTATACGGAAGTTTACATACACTTAGGTTGGAGTCATTAAAACTCGTTTTTTAACCACTCCACAAATTTCTTGTTAACAAACTATAGTTTTGGCAAGTCGGTTAGGATGTCACGATCGTTAACGGATGAGACGGACCAAGGCGCAGCGTGATAAGCGTACATATTTATTTAGTACTGAACACGACCAAAACAACAAACAAACGATACGTGAAGTCCAATGTAGACTGACAACATACATATACGGAACAGGATCCCACACAGACTGGTGCCAAACGGCTGCCTAAGAATGGTCCCCAATCAGAGACAACGAGCTACAGCTGCCTCTGATTGGGAACCACCCTGGCCAACATAGATCTACACGATCTAGAAACTCAACATAGAAAACTTAACATAGAAACTACACACCATGGCTCAACATTTAAGAGTCCCCAGAGCCAGGGCGTGACATAGGACACTTGTGCATGACACAAGTAATTTTTCCAACAATTGTTTACAGACAGATTATTTCACTTATAATTCACTGTATCACAATTCCAGTGGGTCAGAAGTTTACATACATTAAGTTGACGGTGCCTTTAAACAGCTTTGAAAATTCCAAAAAATTATGTCATGGCTTTAGAAGCTTCTGATAGGCTAATTGACATCATTTGAGTCAATTGGAGGTGAACCTGTAGATGTATTTCAAGGCCAACCTTCAAACTCAGTGCCTCTTTGCTTGACATCATGGTAAAAAAATCAAAAGAAATCAGCCAAGACCTCAGAAAAAATCTTGTAGACCTCCACAAGTCTGGTTCATCCTTGGGAGCAATTTCCAAATGCCTGAAGGTACCACGTTCATCTGTACAAACAATAGTACGCAAGTATAAACACCATGGGACCACGCAGCAGTCATACTGCTCAGGAAGGAGACGCATTCTGTCTCCTAGAGATGAACGTACTTTGGTGTGAAAAGTGCAAATCAATCCCAGAACAACAGCAAAGGACCTTGTGAAGATGCTGGAGGAAACAGGTACAAAAGTATCTATATCCACAGTAAAACGAGTCCTATATCGACATAACCTGAAAGGCCGCTCAGCAAGGAAGAAGCCACTGCTCCAAAACCGCCATAAAAAAGCCAGACTACAGTTTGCAACTGCACATCGGGACAAAAATCGTAATTTTTTGAGAAATGTCCTCTGGTCTGATGAAACAAAAATAGAACTGTTTGGCCATAATGACCATTGTTATGTTTGGAGGAAAAAGGGGGCAGCTTGCAAGCCGAAGAACACCATCCCAACCGTGAAGCACGGGGGTGGCAGCATCATGCTATGGGGGTGCTTTGCTACAGGAGGGACTGGTGCACTTCACAAAATAGATGGCATCATGAGGAAGGAAAATGATGTGGATATATTGAAGCAACATCTCAAGACATCAGTCAGGAAGTTAAAGCTTGGTCACAAATGGGTCTTCCAAATGGACAATGACCCCAAGCATACTTCCAAAGTTGTGGCAAAATGGCTTAAGGACAACAAAGTCAAAGTATTGGAGTGGCCATCACAAAGCCCTGACCTCAATCCTATAGAAAATGTGTGGGCAGAACTGAAAATGTGTGTGCGAGCAAGGAGGCCTACAAACCTGACTCAGTTACACCAGCTCTGTCAGGAGGAATGGGCCAAAATTCACTGGTTAATACTAATTGAGTGTATGTAAACTTCTGACCCACTGGGAATGTGATGAAAGAAATAAAAGCTGAAATAAATCATTCTCTCTACTATTATTCTGACATTTCACATTCTTAAAATAAAGTGGGGATCCTAACTGACCTAAGACAGTGAATTTTTACTAAGATTAAATGTCAGGAATTGTGTTTGAGTTTAAATGTATTTGGCTAAAATGTATGTAAACTTCCGATTTCAGCTGTAGTTCCAATCACAATATATGGGAACATTTTACATAATTGTACATATTTTACATACTTTTGCATGTAGTGCACAACAGTGTTATTATTGTGTGGGAGGAAAACATCTATGGGGATTTGCTGTTGGCCATTGATTTCAATAAGGAAAAATAGATCAACTGAAGATGTAATACAGTGCATCCGGAAAGTATTCAGACCCCTTGATTTTTTCCACATTTTGTTACGTTACAGCCTTATTCTAGAATGGATTAAATTGTTTTTTTCCCTTATCAATCTACGCACAATACCCCACAATGACAAAGCAAAAACAGGTTTTTAGACATTTTTGCAAATGTATTACAAATAAAAAACGGAAATATCTGGAGCAGGTTTTCATCAAAGATCTCTCTGTACTTTGCTCTGTTCATCTTTCCCTCGATCCTGACTAGTCTCCCAGTCCCTGCCGCTGAAAAACATCCCCACAGCATGATGCTGCCACCACCATGCTTCACCGTAGGGATGGTGCCAGATTTCCTCCAGACGTGACGCTTGGCATTCAGGCCAAATAGTTACATCTTGGATTCAGACCAGAGAATCTTGTTTCTCATGGTCTGAGAGTAATTTAGGTACCTTTTGGCAAACTCCAAGTGGGCTGTCATGTGTCTTTTACTGAGGAGTCTGGCCACTCTACCATAAAGGTCTGATTGGTGGAGTGCTGCAGAGATGGTTGTTCTGGAAGGTTCTCCCATCTCCACAGAGGAACTCTGGAGCTCTGTCAGAATGACCATCGTGTTCTTGGTCACCTCCCTGACCAAGGAACTACTCCCCCGATTACTCAGTTTGGCCGGGCGGCCAGCTCCAGGAAGAGTCTTGGTGGTTCCAAACTTCTTCCATTTAAGAATGATGGAGGCCATTGTGTTCTTGGGGACATTCAATGCTGCAGAAATTCTTTGGTACCCTTCCCCAGATCTGTGCCTTGACACAATCCTGTCTCTGAGCTCTACGGACAATTCTTTCGACCTCATGGCTTGGTTTCTGCTCTAACATGCACTGTCAACTGTGGGACCTTATATAGACAGGTGTGTGCCTTTCCAAATCATGTCCAATCAATTGAATTTACCACAGGTGGACTCCAATCAAGTTGTAGAAACACCTCAAGGATGATCAATGGAAACAGGATGCACCTGAGCTCAATTTCGAGTCTCATACAAATGGTCTGAATACTTACTGTAAATAAGGTATTTATGTTTTTAAAAAATCTGTTTTCGCTTTGTCATTATGGGGTATTGTGGGTAGATTGAATAGGAATGCAGGCTCTAATTTTCAAACATTGCTTTTCAGAGGCCTATGTGACCTGTCTATTCCATGAGGATTGCATGTTGCCCTGTAACTTTAAACCCACTGGTGCTGTGGTCATCCACTGGTACAAACAGCAGATTCCTGTTCACAGCTACTATTACAACAAGGACCAGTATGGACTGCAAAATAAGCACTTCAATGGAAGGACATGCTTGTTCAACTCCCAGATCACCCATGGCAATGCATCGCTCCTCCTGAAGAGGGTCAAAGTTCAGGACAAGGGCAGGTACAAGTGCTACACCAGTACCAGAAAGGGGAACCAGGAGACCTTTGTCACACTGGGGGTGAAAGGTCAGTGAAAAATATCCCTATTGTCTCCTAGTTTATTATTATTCATGCAGCATTTCTCAATGGACAGCTCACATAAACCACCTTCTTTCTATTCATCAGTGGCGATTTTAGCCTGTAAATCTTGGTGGGGCAACAAAATTAAAATGTGGATGCATGCCAGCAAAGCCACTACACAACACAACACTAAACAATACATTAATTGCACTATAACGGTGACAAACAGTGTCCACAAACTGTTACGGCTTACATTAAGCTGTCCCAACAGCAGTCCCAACACCTTACCACTGCTACACCTGGCTATCAGCGGAGCCTTGTCTGGCAGCGAAACAGTTAATTCAGCCTAATTTACTGCCTTTAAAAAAAACATAGCTGATATGGCTGACTTGCTTAAACAAATGTGGTTTCTACTGACAATTGAGATGTACAAACTATGGCATAAGGGGACGACATGCGGATAAGAGGCAATCCGTAATTTCCATTAAGACATTAACGAGCGAGCCAGGACGGACATAGTCAATATAACTATTTGTTCAGCACTTTTGAAATGTACAGTGACAGAATTCAGAACATGGGCCGTGCTTACAGTGTTCTCCCTGTACACCAAGTCAGAACTGTTGAATAAATAAAGGGGGCATATAAGCAGACAATGAAAGCTCTTACAATATTCGTTAATTAGGCAAAATTAAGAGGTAAAAATAGACCAAATGATTAGGGTGAGGCACATGGGCTACTAACAGCTTACTACACAACATACACTTAGTATTACTTTCTTAGCTACAGTATATATATCTCCCTGGCATATTACATCATTTACGCAGCAGCATATAAGACATTTTTGGACTTTTTGTGATGTGCTCACTTGAATAGGAAGGTGGCGCGGCCGTCCTTCGTGGGCAAATATTTTCCCTGCCTGAGCTCGTTTATTCCCGACTTCCCAGTTGCAATGCTTGCAGTTAGCCACTGTCACCGATTCCTTCCAAACCACTCATTGTTGAATTTGCGATTTCCAACTTGTTGTGTAATGTTTATGTCTAATAATGAGCACCGATACATTTTATCTATAATTTCTCTTCATTATTTCTCTTCATATGACAAGGATTAAAAAGGATTTGCCAGTAGATTGTCGACTTGATTCATGATGGTGACTGCTAGCTAAGATTTTGAAAGTAAGATGTTGACATGATCAGTCCAATCAACGTGATTTGACGTCATTTTATCTGTGGCCAATGACCTTGAGCCTTCTTGGATGGGCACTTCTAATGTAACTCTATGCATGACCCAAAGGACTTTAATTTTCAATGTCTACTCTTACTAAGGACTTAGACTTGTCGGTGACATAGTGTCCCCATGAGTGACAGAACACTGAGCCAATCACAGCGCAACTAGAGAACATTACCAACCCCTACGCTCCGTATTTCCGCTGGCTGCCCCACCACCACAGAAAGCACTGAGCTAGGCTGAAACACCTGCATTTTGGAGATGCCTTACTCAAGAAAACAAAAAAGAGACCATGTTTGTATGCGGCTTTATTAACTTAAGTATATATATATTTTTTTACATTGTTTGCAAACTGATATGTGACACGTATTAATGCCAGAATAACCATTTTCTTTGGTTGCAAAAAATGTGGGGCTCAAAACCACTGCTATTCATCAGTATGATTCCACATTTCAAATTCTGTCCAGACATGTGTAAAGCATTAAAAAGCTGGCACCCACTGGGCACAGACATCAGTTCAACGTCTAGTTTTGATTGAGTTGACAACTAACGTAATTTCAACGTGAAATCAACAAAAAATATCACCTTGTCATTAGATTTAGGTTAAAAGTTGGATGAAAAAAATGAAGAAATGTCCTTACGTTGATGACTTTTTTCAATTCCAATCAATTATCCACGTTGATTCAACGTCATCACATTAAATTTTTTTGGGTTGAAATGGCATGGAAACAACGTTGATTCAACTCGTTTTTGCGCAGTGGGCAGGCTTTGTTAGCCATGTCTACATGTCTCAATATCGTTATGTTAACTTTGTCCGTTTATTTGTTGTGTAATATTTGCTCCTCAAACCACTTTAGGAGAGCCAAGAGGAGTGTGATTATCTATAGAGTATAATAAAAGCTTAAGCCTAATATTGAGTTTCGTGGGACGGTGTTTGTTAGTGCCCTATAATGCATTAGTCTACCCTCATGGTTGGGACTGCAGGGGGGAATAAAGCACTCACTTTTTCCACTGTAACACTTGACTGGGCCCTGCCTGCATTAGTCTACAGGGTACACAATGTTTCCACAGGGACCGTGCCGTGGTCATGTGACTGGCTCTTATGTCATATTTCCATGAATGCCGAAGTTGTCATACTAACAATGCAAGCATCGCTAGATAAAACAAAAAACATTACTGATATACATTGATTGGCCATGGAAACTCTAGAGGGCTAGGTAGGGTTCATACTTTATTCAACACTATCGAGAACACTTTTTTTTCTCTTTTGCAGCTCTAATCCAGTCAGTGAGAATAGAGATGACTGGGGAGGTCGTCTCCTGTTCATCTCAGAACATCTATCCTGTCCCTCAGGTGGCATGGACCACAGACCCACTGTCTTCCCCAGAAACACTACAGAACTCCACCAGCAAAACTCCAGACTCCAAAGGTCTGTACACAGTGGAGAGCACAGTAAGGATCCTGGGTAATGTCTCTGACCACGCCTATTTCTGTTCGGTCATCTCTGCAGACAAGGCCCAGGTGTGGACAGTCTCTCTGAAGCAGCAAGGTATGATTCAACATCCTGGAATGCAGTGTTATGTTTATAAAACCAAGTCTCACAAAAATTCACCGTGAACAAGCTGTTCTCTCCTAGATTTAGCCTGAAAATGCATTTTACAAAGAACTGACTAAGCTTGTATTTGAGATGCTCCTTGGAACAGAAACTAGGAATTATTGATCAGTCTATTTAGCGTCTCTAGAGAAAACCTTCAACCTGTCTGGCGATATAGTGACATTTAAAGGCACGTTAAATATGTGCCTCATAAAAGTGTGTTACCAGCTTACATATCGTTAAATGTTGTGCTTTTTAGGGGTCATTAAGTTGTTGACAAAGGGGAGAGGTATCCCCGTGTAGCTCAGTTGGTAGAGCATGGTGTTTGCAACGCCAGGGATGTGGGTTCGTTTCCCACGGGGGACCAGTATGAAGAAAAAAAAAGAACAAATGTATGCACTCACTAACTGTAAGTCGCTCTGGATAAGAGCGTCTGCTAAAATGACGTAAATATACAATGTATCATTGACAAATGATTTGTGATGTTTAATATTGCAGAAGATATGATTGGAGAGGCGAGTCGAGAGCTGTCCATCCCTTGCATGGCTCCACAGAACCTCCAGAACTTCTCCCTCACATGGACCTTCACCAGAACTAATGAGCCCACAGTCATCCTCAGCTACGACAGCAGAACCAGACGGACCTCCAACCTCTGGGAGGGCCGGGTTGGACTGGAGCAGTACCGAGTTTTGATGGGAGACGGATCCCTCCTTCTTCACAACCCAGAGAGTCAGGAACACACAGGAACCTACACCTGTACATTTTCAGGCTTCCAGAACAGACACATGGTCCAAACCCAGGTCAACATCACAGCTACTCCAATAGGTAGGTGCATACTCATTAAATGTATAGGTTTTCTACACTATTCATATACATTGCTACAAACACACAAAGACAAGCAGATAGTTAATAAAGAAACACAATGTCTGTTTCACAGTGGAGAATGAGCAGAACAGTGAGAGGTCATTGTGGGGAACAGCAGCCTCTGTAGCCTTCTTTGCCTTCACAGTTTATGTGGTCCTTCCACGGTGTCTAAGACACAGAGGTAAGTGACTACAGACCTCTAAAAAATGTAGCTGTACACCTGATTGTATTTTCACCTATCTTTCCAGTAGGAAAGCAAACAATGTATAATTGGAAACATGGGCGACCATTGCCTATAATGAGACCCTCACATGCAGGTAACCATAGACTAGAGGGTCATAACAGTAACACGTTTTAAACTGTTCTCGAGGAGGATGACTTGCTGTACTAAAATACTGTGTTCTTGTGTTGTAGATACAGCAATAACCATGAGTGGATCAACTTTACACCAACAAAATGGAGCAGGTCTGGATGAAACAGGAACCACTGAACATAGACCACATAGCCAAGGATTGTACATATCTGTACCACATACACCAGAGGGTAATATAACACCACCATACACTCCTAGACCAGATGAATTGGCAAATGATTTTCCAGCGACAACAGGACATTATTCACCAGGATCACAGTCACTGAGTGAGGAGCTAGACACAATCGGACCACAAACACCAGGCGATGATGGACCACAACCACACATACCAGAGAGTGATGAACTAGGAAATGGTGCCTCTATACTTGGAACCTTTGCACAAGACTTTAATGTAACAATATCATACGCCCAAGAAGGGGATATACCGGGACCATGTACATCAGGAGATGATGAAGAAGTAGGACTTCATCACCTCCCTCCACACACATAAGGAGGTCCCGTCAGACCAAACACCAGAGGAGTCGATTCCTCTGGGCCAGATGACTCAGAAAGAGGTGCACATATCCAGGACTTACTAGGTAGTGATGCACCAGGACCTTACATTTACATTTTAGATACATAACAGGACTAGACAGCATGTCATATTGGAATAGCGATTGAGGAGATACAGTACTTCTCACAGTGGTCACAGCTGATGGACACATGGCTACAGTTGGGGGGAAAAGTATTTAGTCAGCCACCAATTGTGCAAGTTCTCCCACTTAAAAAGATGAGAGAGGCCTGTAATTTTCATCATAGGTACACGTCAACTATGACAGACAAAATGAGGAGAAAAAAATCCAGAAAATCACATTGTAGGATTTTTAATGAATTTATTTGCAAATTATGGTGGAAAATAAGTATTTGGTCAATAACAAAAAAGTTTCTCAATACTTTGTTATATACCTTTTGTTGGCAATGACACAGGTCAAACGTTTTCTGTAAGTCTTCACAAGGTTTTCACACACTGTTGCTGGTATTTTGGCCCCTTCCTCCATGCAGATCTCCTCTAGAGCAGTGATGTTTTGGGGTTGTCGCTGGGTAACACAGACTTTCAACTCCCTCCAAAGATTTTCTATGGGGTTGAGATCTGGAGACTGGCTAGGCCACTCCAGGACCTTGAAATGCTTCTTACGAAGCCACTCCTTCGTTGCCCGGGCGGTGTGTTTGGGATCATTGTCATGCTGAAAGACCCAGCCACGTTTAATCTTCAATGCCCTTGCTGATGGAAGGAGGTTTTCACTCAAAATCTCACGATACATGGCCCCATTCATTTTTTCCTTTACACGGATCAGTCGTCCTGGTCCTTTTGCAGAAAAACAGCCCCAAAGCATGATGTTTCCACCCCCATGCTTCACAGTAGGTATGGTGTTCTTTGGATGCAACTCAGCATTCTTTGTCCTCCAAACACGACGAGTTGAGTTTTTACCAAAAAGTTATATTTTGGTTTCATCTGACCATATGACATTCTCCAAATCCTCTTCTGGATCATCCAAATGCACTCTAGCAAACTTCAGACGGGCCTGGACATGTACTGGCTTAAGCAGGGGGACACGGCTGGCACTGCAGGATTTGAGTCTCTGGCGGCGTAGTGTGTTACTGATGGTAGGCTTTGTTACTTTGGTCCCAGCTCTCTGCAGGTCATTCACTAGGTGGTGTGGTTCTGGGATTTTTGCTCACCGTTCTTGTGATCATTTTGACCCCACGGGGTGAGATCTTGCATGGAGCCCCAGATCGAGGGAGATTATCAGTGGTCTTGTATGTCTTCCATTTCCTAATAATTGCTCCCACAGTTGATTTCTTCAAACCAAGCTGCTTACCTATTGCAGATTAAGTCTTCCCAGCCTGGTGCAGGTCTACAATTTTGTTTCTGGTGTCCTTTGACAGCTCTTTGGTCTTGGCCATAGTGGAGTTTGGAGTGTGACTGTTTGAGGTTGTGGACAGGTGTCTTTTATACTGATAACAAGTTCAAACTGTTAGGCCTACTGCTGCTAGGTAGCTCTCTCTCTGCTCTCCCCCTCCCCTCTGTCTGTCCTTGATTGCAGGAGTGAAGTCTGGTGTGCGGGAGTCAGGGTTCCAGCTGCAGCTCATTCACCATAATCACCTCAGCCTTTAAGACCCGGTCAAACTTGCCACTCATCGTCAGATCATAGTCAAGACGACCATGTTAGTCTCGCTGCCGACTCAACCTGTTTGTTTTCGCTCTTTGTGTTTTTGGCCTGTTCTATTTACTTTTCTCCTGTGCCACAGATTATGGGAACCTGACTCCTGCCTCCGCTTCACTCCTGCCACCACCATCCTGCTCTCCACTACCGGACCTCCCTTTTGGACTCACCACGGACACTAGGACATTACGGTACCACACCTGCCCTGACCTGGATCTGTTACCCTCCCTGTAACCTGGACTTGCTCTTCCCCTATTATTGGAAACCTGGACTTATTGAACATTGTAAATAAACCTGTTAAACCTTCTCTGGCTTGGTGTACTTGTCTGCATTTGGGTTCTACTCCAGTTAAATCATGACACAAACAGGTGCCATTAATACAGGTAACGAGTGGAGGACAGAGGAGCCTCTTAAAGAAGAAGTTACAGGTCTGTGAGAGCCAGAAATCTTGCTTGTTTGTAGGTGACCAAATACTTATTTTCCACCATAATTTGCAAATAAATTCATAAATAATCCTACAATGTGATTTTCTGGATTTTTTTTCTTCTCAATTTGTCTGTCATAGTTGACGTGTACCTATGATGAAAATTAAAGGCCTCTCTCATCTTTTTAAGTGGGAGAACTTGCACAAGTGGGAGAACTTGGTGGCTGACTAAATACTTTTTTTCCCCACTGTACATCAACATCCTCACAGAGTCCATGTCCAATGCAGACCAATGTGTCCAGACCTGTGAACAAAGCTACTATAATTGCCTGAGCAAAGTTTGGGATGGGTTGGAATTATGTTGGAAAGTAGCACAAATTCATTGCCCTGTTTGATATTTGCCTTGAGTTATGGTAACCTACTAATATTTTCTGACTAACGTTTTAATACATTTATTAAAAATAACTTGGTCAAGTTGTGTCTTTGTCACGCCCTGGCCGTGAGAGGCCTGTTGTCTTTAGTTGGTTTGGTCAGGGCGTGAGTTTCTATGTTATATATTCTATGTTTACGTTCTAGTTAGTCTATTTCTATGTTTCAGTTCTAGGTTGTGTGTCTATGTTTGGCCGGGTGTGATTCCCAATCAGAGACAGCTGTTGCTCGTTGTCTCTGATTGGGGATCATACTTTAGTAGCCTGGTTGCCTACCTTAGTTGTGGGATCTTGTTCCGTGTTAGGCTTGTATGTGTATAGCTTGAGGACTTCACGTTACGTTGTTTCTTGTTTTGTTTATGTTTACTGAGTTAAATAAACATGTATGCTTTTCACGCTGCACCTTGTTCTGACCCGTCTCTCAACAATCGTGACAGTCTTGTGCTGACTCCTTGTTTGTTGCTTGGGCATACTCACAGAGAATGAGACTGCAGGCTGCCCTGTGTTAAATGAGGTCAACATATGCATGTTTATCCTGGCCTCACACCGTGGAGGTAACACATCCCATTGGTGGCAACTCATCCCTGAAATGAAAGGGAATGTTTGACTAGTCACATTGCGCTGGTTCTCTGAAGGATGGAATTAAGTTCCCTCATTGCTTAGTAACCCTAATGAAGATTTTGACCACAAAACACTGTTATCTTGCATTCACCCTATCATATCTATTAATAACTGAAACCCCAAAGTGAATCTAAGGAGATGACAAGCAGTCTGGATGAAGAACTAATGAAAATAAGCTTGTGTGACCCCTGGGTCAGCAGAAAGGGGACATTTGATCACCCTACAGAAAACACAATCTCCTGCTTTTGTTCTGACTGCACTGGGCAGTAAGGAATAAGCACTGTGTGTGTGGCTCAGGGGTATAGTGATCACATGTCCTCTGTGAACATCACATGAACAGAAACAACCCATGAAGTAGTTGGAGAGAAATGCTTGAAAGCATCAGCACATAAGTGCACATAAAATACAGGGAATTTGTGATAGAAATCACATGAGTTGAATGATCAGTTTCACTTCTCACTTATATCTTCACAACACACACAGCCACATCCATTTTCTCCTTAAAGGCACCTATCCAATCACATGCACCCTCAAGCAAAACACACACACACTCATCCTTGCAACGCTACATAGTTACTTTCTCTCCAACAGAGCACAGCCCAATGGATCCTTTGTGGGGGTTTTGCATGAAGCTGTGACTGTTTAGCTTCAAATCAAGATTCTTCGACTCTACGATTAAAGTGAGTAAACTGACCTTTCTGGACAATGTGGCCATGATTCCAAAACGATGACCAGGCTAAATTGTGCCAGGACAACCCTTCCCACTGAGCAAAAACTGCTTGAATCAACGTTGTTTGCATGTCATATTATTTTTTCTATGTGATGACTTTGAATCAATGTGGAAAACTGAATGGATTTGCAAAACATCAACATAAGGGAATTCTGTCTTTTTTTCACCCAACTTTTAACCTAAACCCAATGACATGGTGCAATGTTTTGGTGATTTCACATTGAATTCATGTTAGTTGACAACTCAACCAAATGTAAATCAAAACTAGACATTGAAATGACGTCTGTGCCCATTGAGTTATCCCTGTGTGTACACTGGAATTAGGATTCATGTAAAAGTTTGGACACACCTACTCATTCCAGGGTTTTTCTTTATTTTTACTATTTTCTACATTGTAGAATAATAGTGAAGACATCAAAACTATGAAATAACACATATGGAATCATGTAGTAACCAAAAAAGTGTTAAACAAATCAAAATATATTTTATATTTGAGATTCTTCAAAAAGGCACCCTTTGCCTTGATGACAGCTTTGCACACTCTTGGCATTCTCTCAACCAGCTTCACCTGGAATACTTTTCCAACAGTCTTGAAGGAGTTCCCACATACAGTGGGGGAAAAAAGTATTTAGTCAGCCACCAATTGTGCAAGTTCTCCCACTTAAAAAGATGAGATACACGTCAACTATGACAGACAAATTGAGAAAAAAAAATCCAGAAAATCACATTGTAGGATTTTTAATGAATTTATTTGCAAATGATGGTGGAAAATAAGTATTTGGTCACCTACAAACAAGCAAGATTTCTGGCTCTCACAGACCTGTAACTTCTTCTTTAAGAGGCTCCTCTGTCCTCCACTCGTTACCTGTATTAATGGCACCTGTTTGAACTTGTTATCAGTATAAAAGACACCTGTCCACAACCTCAAACAGTCACACTCCAAACTCCACTATGGCCAAGACCAAAGAGCTGTCAAAGGACACCAGAAACAAAATTGTAGACCTGCACCAGGCTGGGAAGACTTAATCTGCAATAGGTAAGCAGCTTGGTTTGCAGAAATCAACTGTGGGAGCAATTATTAGGAAATGGAAGACATACAAGACCACTGATAATCTCCCTCGATCTGGGGCTCCACGCAAGAAAATGATCACAAGAACGGTGAGCAAAAATC